CTATGTTGGCCTTACTTTGCAGATCAGTTCTGTAATGAGAACTACATTTGCTATGTTTGGAAGATTGGTTTAGGGTTAGCCAAAGGTGAAAGTGGAATCGTAACAAGGCATGAAATAAGTACGAAGATAAAGATATTGCTGTCTTCTGATGTTATAAAGGCAAATGCGTTGCATATAAAGGAACTTGCTAGAAACAGTTTCAATGAAGGTGGGTCTTCTTTCAAGAACTTCAACAACTTTATTGAACATATTGAGCGCCTTTAAACCTGGCTAATTATTTGAGGTGCAACATTGAAAGAAGACAGATTCCGCTAAAGCTATAAACCCTAAATAATAAAAGTGATGTACTGCTTGATTAATCTTCTTAAAGATAGTTGTCAAACTTTATCTAAAACTGAAGATGTAATAAACTGCCTTTTACTCAACAGTTTATAATTCCTTAGATTAACTTCATAAGTATGCTTTGCTTTTCTTGGAGGAAGTAGAATATCTTTTGAAACTTATTTCACTTACTTGCATTTCAGTTGTCAAGTACAAGAACGTATTTATAGTTACAATAACTGACTTCTAACATCTAGTTATGTGAACTACAATTTAACAATACATACATGAACTACATTAATTCAAAATACATGAACAATCATATGCAAAGTGCCAACACATAATGAACTTAGCAAACCAAAAGACAAATGAACTTAAACATGTAGGAAAATTCAAATTACTAATTTCAACACTCTCCCTTAATTTGAAATTTTCTTCAATCGTAAGGCTTGCTCTCAATCTACCAAAATCTCCAAACTTGAAAGGTTAAGTAAAACTATCTGCAACTTGATCTTTGTTGAAAGTTTGATCTAGAATAGGTAGAGGAAAAAGAGTTGAAGTTGAGTGGGAAGTAATAAAAGTTTGAAGAAGATAATTGAGTAGGAAAAAACATCATCGTTCCACCTTTACTAAATCCAAGAATTGTGAAACACTTGATTGGAATGCCGTTTAGTTTACTGGTTCAATGACTTAGTGCTATATGACTTGATTATCTGTCGTTTAGATTTCTTGGGTTCTGTAGATAGTCGATTTTGGTTAATACTTATTCTCTAAAAAATCATTTTATCGCGTAACATTATATAAAGAATAATGAGAACAACCATTATAAATAAAGCACTACTTCATGCAAAACAACTAGAATAGGTGGAGCATTACTCCATGTGGAACAACTAATACAAGTAGAACAATTATTTTATACAAAATAATAGTTTCACATAGATGACAGTGAAAGTAATCCAGAATAGGTGGCGGGGTTCATGAGTTACTTTCATATTGAGATGTTCCGGAGAGTTTGGCTTGATGGCTCAGATATGGAGGTAGTTAAGAGGTCTCTTTTAACCTTTTCTTGAAATACAAATGTTTTCTGCTTTTTCCTTGTTCTCTTATACTTGTTCATGTACAACCTTTTCTCTTATACCTGTTCATGTACAGCTTCCTCTCTTGTACCTGTTCACGTACAGCTTTTCTTTATTAACTCCTACTCGAGAACAAGTTTTATTAAATATAATTATTTCAATGGTCACATAATAAGTTTTAACCGTTACTCAACATTAACTCTCAATAACGGTTACCTAACATTAAAACTCTCCTTAATGATATCATTTATTACAAGTATTAAAACCTTTTCTTGTAACTGTTATTTTTGACACATATATATAGAGTTTTCACAACTCAAAAAGAGGGACTTTCAGAACTACCAGACTCTGACTCATAGCTTTCTCTTTAGCCTATTCTCACTTAAAACACTTATTCTTTTCTTATTCTCTTCCACCTGTCACAACATTTAGTACTTCAGGAACTGCTCAATTTTCTTTTCCGTCACCTCTGGTACATCCCTTACTTATTTGCAACACTTCCTCTTCTCATCACAAGAACCACATTTACATTTTGGTGACTCCACTAGGGAGGAGTGATTGCATTAAGTAAGATTTTTATTGCTACAATTTCTTGTTACCGAAAAAGATGGAGAGTTCCATTGGCAATCAAAATGCACCCGTTCCTTCTTACATTCAGGATATGATGAGAATGATCCAAGTTTCTCAAGAGAGGATGAAACATTGGAAGACAATCATCGGCGAATAATGGACACTATATCTCAACTAGCGTCCTCTACTAGCACCACTTCTCAAGCCCAGCCTGTGAACCTTAATGAGAGTACACCTGACGGGGTCACTCATATAGTTACAAACACTAAAGGGAATGGAGGAAATAGAAAAGGTGCAGCTGATGTAGTAGTCGCTGCAAACCCAAATCCTACCAACACCATTGCTGCAGTTACCCTAACAACTACCTCTACTACGGTAATCCCACCTACTTCTACTTAAGGATTTGTGATAATAGAAGAGCTCTAAAGGCTATTAGATCAAAAGAACAAGAGTTTAAATTTTTCTAAGTTTGATCTTAAGTTACCTTACCAGGCCAATGTAGCTGCAAAGTCATACCCTAAAGACTATACTAGCCCTAAATTCAAACAATTCAATAGAAAGATTGGAGATGCATGTGAACATGTCATGAAATTTGTGAAAACTCTTGGAGTTGCTGGATTAGATGATGACCTAAAGTTAAAAGAGTTCTCCAAGTCTCTCACTGAGAAGGCTTATACATGGTATGTTAATCTCACTCCCGATTCTATTCAATCTTGGAATCAGATGTGTAGGATGTTTGGAGCAAAGTTCTTCTCTACTCAAGAGAAGGTTACTCTTGTTGATCTTGGAAGAGAGTTTCAAAAGTCTAGAGAGGATTTAATGGAGTGTATCCAACACTTTAGAGAGAGGGTGTTGGACATTCAAGAGTCTCATGATGAGAAAGAGTTGGTAAAAGTGTGCATTCAGGGGATGTTTGATGAATACAGACTATACTTGTAGAATTTACCTCTTCTAACCTTTGCTACACTAGTGGAAGCTGCACAAAGGACTAATAATATCGTTCTTAGACAAAAAGGACTCACTCGCTTTGGTAGAAAGAATACTCCAACAGTGAATGCTATCTAAGGAGGAGGTAGAGAAAGAAGGGGTCTAATCTGAACAAATTTACGCCCCGGAAGATATGTCCCAAGGAGAAGTCCAGATGAGGAGAATGACTCTTTTATACCATTCTCAATACCTCTGGATAGAGTGAGAGCTCTTCTTCTAGAATGGGTCAGGGATGGATAAATAAACCTACCATACATTCCACGACCACTAACAGCAGAGGAGAAAGCTAACTCAAGATATTGTGATTATCATCGAGCGGTTGGTCATCCACTTTCTGAATGTGGAAATCTTCAGAGAATGTTCCATCAACGAGTGCAACCAAGAGAGGTATCGATTAAAAATAATAGAGTCCAGAATAACCCTCTTCTTATTCATCCAAATCCTTGAGGGCAAGTAA